GCAGCTTTCCTCCACCATTTCCTTCCTCCTTGCATTCTCTGCCTTAGCCCAGACAACAATGGATTTAACCTTCTGAAACCATGAGGCAAAATAAGAATCTCCTCCCTTAAGTTGCAAGTGTCAAGTATTTTGTCCCAGTGATGAGAAGGTGACAAATACGTAGCGAGATACTTCTGCGCACACCTTACGAGCCCCCGGGTGGAGAGCTCTGAGAAGTCCAGTTATATGCAATAAGAAATTGGTAAGAAGACTCCCTTCAGGTGATAGAGGCTCAGCAATAGACTAACACCATCCCTGATAAGTAGAGAGAACTTCAGTAGAGATAGAAGCAATCAGGAGGGACTCTCCTTCACCTAAATGATCCTTACTTACTCAGAGATGCTTGACATTCTCAAAAAAGAGATAACCATTCCCAATTACAGATTCAGGATTAAGAGGTAATCATCCTTTGGGAATGCTAGTGGAGGCCAAAAGTCACACTGAGTAGAGACAACCTCTGCAGATCCTAAGAGTGGGTGAAAGAAGAACAAGCACTTGCAAACTGGGAAACCAAAGAGGATATAGTTGTGATGGGAAACCGGAGGCAAAGAGCCAAAAGAAGGCGTGACCACAGCTTGATCCCGGAACTGGCTTCACTGTGAATGCAGGCTTAAATGAGCAAATTCCTCAACAGTAACCACAGTTTTAAAAACCTAAAACCATCTCCCTGATGAACCACAAATTTGGCCTGAAAAGAATCAGAGAATATGGGCTAGCTACGTGTCTAAGAGTGGCCTGTGGGTAAAGTGGCTACGACAGGCTGCTTCACTGTAGTCAGCTCAAACCCTAAGACATCTATCTGGATTTCTACAAAAATGCTAACTGGTTTCAGCTCTGCAGGTTGCTCAAACTGTCAGTACATATGACACAATCAAAATTCCTAGTAAGTATTTTGACGCTAAGCCATCAATCTAATTAATTTTCAGCATCTATCAAAAAAGGGAAAAATGGTCAAATAGTCTCAGACTAATTTATTGAAATCCAAAAGTATTCTCACATACTCAGAGTAATTACTCAGAGTGACTCTTGTCATCACAATTTGAGACACGATCTGAAGTAAATTGTTTGCTTCTATTTTTAAATCACAAAATAAAATACAGCTGCATCGAGGCATCAGTGTTGCAGTAGCTTATACTTACTTTGCAACAGCCTTAGACATCCCCTTGTCCAGTCGCTTCTGACCCAGAGTGAGATGGTCACTTATATTATCAGCTACAACCACTAACGTACCCTACTACTTTTTTCCTTTTGTAAGTCCTCCCCCTGAATGTAAAATACTTCACCACATTTAAAATTAAAGCTGTGTCACTTAACAGTTCCATGGATTTAAAATCAAAGTTGCAGCGCTTGTCCTGATTGAATCTGCTTCAATTTTGGTGACATTTTCTCATGGTCCGTTGTTTGTATTGTATATCCAAAGGTTATATTAATAACAATCTGTGCTTTCCTTGTTTAAAAAGCTAATGGATCTTATGATAAGGTGATTTCTTTGGTTCATTATTATACATCACATTATAGCTACTCCCTTGTATGTTACAGAAAATATTCCTTTAGAGTTTCAATACAACTACTAGAACAAAATCATTTAAATCTATTTTATTCTATATTTGTCTGATCTCCATGTCAAGTTCATAAAGGGGGAAGAAAAAATATTGCAGTACATAAAAATTCACATCATAATAATGACAGCAATAACACTGACACTAGTTATCATTTACTAACATCTTTCTGTACTCCAAAAACACTGCTAAGTCTCATATGCTTAACCTTGTCAGTTAATCTTAACCATAACCCTGAGACAAAAACCCTTCCCATTTTTCAAGTAAGAAAGACAAATTTTAGAGAAGTGATGTATTTTGTCACTGTCACGTAGGAGGAAACTGATAGGACTGAATGATTTTCCTTTAAGACCACACTGAAAACAGAAATCACACACAGCAAAGGAAAATTAAAGATACAGTAAAAAACCCTCATCAAACACAAAGCATGTAAATCAATGAACTAACTCTAGGAACTAATACCGTAAAACTTAGAAAAAAATATAGGGGCAGATCTTTAGAACCTTGTATTTAGCAGTTGGTTCCTAAGTATGTCATCAAATGCTCAAACAACCAAAGGATAAATAAATCATCAAAATTATAAAAAAAAATTATAAACTTTTGTGCACCAAAGGACAATATCTAGAATGTAAAGAGAGCCTATAAAACGAGAGAAAATATTTGTAAATCAGACGTTGGGTTAAGTTTTGACATCCAAAATTTACTGTTATAAGAAACTCTAGAACTCCCACAATGCAACAACAAAAGGAGAAACACAATCTAACCAAGAATACGAGCAACGGACTAAAGAGACATTTCTCCAAAGATACACAAATGAACAATGGACAAAAAAACATAAAAAATGGTTAAAATGGTAAATTTTAATTATGTATATTTTTTATCCCCCATAAAAAACATTGCACTCTTTCTTTTAAAGAAAGTCATTCTTGTATCTGTAGATCAGATCAGTCTTGTGAAACCCAGGCATTAGTTTCTGTGGCTAAAACCTCAAATTAAAGTCCAATGTTGATGTCATTCTTCAACCACAACCAAGTTCCTGTTGGATTAGAAAAGTTCAGATTTCCTGGCATACTAGACCAGCTCTCAACAAGCAGATCCCAAACAGTGTTACATCCTCTTACCACACTCAACTCCATCTGCGTTGACTGCTTTCTCTACTTGAGCCATGTTCCTCTGTCCTTCCCACATTCACAGTTTGCATTAAGGCTCACTGTTGGTGTTGCACATCCTGTGGGGTTAGGCAAATGTATGATGACATGTGCCCACCACTAAGCATTTATACTGTCCTAAAAATCCTCTGAGTTTGCCTATTCATCCCTACCTCCCCTTAACCCACCCTGTCCTTAGAACCACTGATCATTACATTGTCTCCATAATTTTCCTTTTCTAGATGGTCATATAATTGGAACCATATAGTATTTAGTATTTTTAGATTGACTTGGTTTACTTAGTTGCATACATTTAATATTCTCCCATGTTTTTATGTGGCTTAATAGCTAATTTTTTTAATTGTTGAATATTCCGTTGGCTGGAAACACCAATGGTATCTTTATCTATTTACCTACTGAAGAACATTTTCAGTGCTTATAAGTTTTGCGATTATGAATGCAGATGGCATAAACATAGTGTGTAAAGGTTTTTTGTAGGCATAAATTTTTATCTCCTTTAAGTAGATACCAAGGATGACAACTGCAGAATTGTATGATATGAGGATGTGTAATTTTCTTAGAAACACCCAAGTCTCCTCCAAAGTGACAGCATCTTTCATTCCTGACAGTCAGCATATCAGGTATTTGATGTTGTCAATGTTCTGGATTTTGGCTGCTCTAAAGGGGATGTTGAGTAGTAGCATCTCATTGTTGTTTTAATTTATGTTTCTCTGATGCTGTATGACATGGAACATCTTTTATGCTTATTTGGCATTTGTGTATCGTCTTTGGTGAGCTGTCTTTTAAAGTCTTTGGTGCATTTTTAAATCAGGTTGCTTGTTTTCTTATTGTTGAATTTTAAGAATTCTTTATGTATTTTGGATAGTAATTATTTATCAGATGTATCTTTTGCAAATATTTCTTCTCTGCTTGTGACTTGTCTGATTATTCAAAGGAATGTGTTTGGTTTCAGTTTAACATAAATATCACAGAGCATCTCATACAACTTCATTATTAACTGACCCAAGTTTATAAATGTTCATTTATTCTATATTTATTGAGCACCTATTATAGACAGTAAAGATAACAAATACTCAAGTGTCGCTAAACTGTGACCACCAGAATCAAAGCATCTCTGTAACAGAGGAAGTTTTGCTAACTGAACCAGATGTTTGACCTATGTGCATATGCAGTGCTCTACCTCGGGTAATTTAAATAATACCTACATAATTAAGTTTTCAGGCTCCAGCATGTTTGAAGTGATTTCCATCATGCATTATAGTTATAAGCCCATTGTTCTCCTAAGAAATGCATGATGCAGTGGAGAAGGTCAACACATTACAAATAAATAGGGTGTATGGTAGGACAGAAAAAGCACAGAATTGAATCAAGGCCAATGTTAACTAGCTGGGACCTTAAGGAAATAAATTAATCTGCTCTCAATCTTGGCTCCATAAGCTAGTTGAACTAGAATCTCTACATAGTAGGTTTTTAACTGATGTGTATACTATAACTTTTATGTGTACTGACAACCCACACAGCCTTTCCTGTAGTTGAGTAATAGTTGGTGATTGGAAGAAAAAGATTGAAAAAATTGTTTCCAAGCTGATCATCCAGCTTTAAAACTGTTAATACAGGATGGGAAGTAGATGATCAAGTCAAGCTCAGCCTTGAAAACTTCTGTTTAGTATTTTTTTTTATGCGAGTCAAGGAAAATTAAAAAACAGTGTTGACTATTAAGAAAAGAAATAACTTGCTCAAAAGGGCACTTAACAAAGGGAATTTCCACTGTGTGGCTGAGGTACCAGGCAGGTGAGGAGATAGAGTACAGTTCTTTTTCCCCCTCTGCTACTTCTGTTCTCTTCCTTCTCCATAAATAACCACGGGATGCAGGCATTGTTTTGTTTTACTTTTTTCATTATTACAGCATTGGTTTAATAATATTATTTGTAACTTTTACTTTTCCATAATTTCATTTTTTAGAAAAACACTTCAAAAATACCTAACAAAATAAAGTCCTGAATGATACCTTGCAAAACTTTTAAAGTGAAAATACTTATATGATAACAATTTGACTCCGACAAATAAACATTATTGAGTCAAACAGCAGACAGAAAAAAAAAATCCTTTGAAAGATAAATACCTTGTGTGCTTCTTGCCAATAAGGGACACAACTTCCTCATTGTTGTTAATGAAAAGTAAAACATTCTTTCTAAAAAGAAAGAAAACACTCATGAGTCACCTAATCCCGAGTACAATCGGGACTGAGAAGCTATAAATTTCTGCAGCTTCTAGCACTAAACTTCAAGCCAGTCTAGGTCTAGAAGAGCTGTGGCCCGATGGCAGCTGTGCCACTCATCCTGCTGTGGGCCACACTGCTGCCCAGTGGCCTGGCCCTGCCGCTGCCCCAGGAGGCGACAGGCACCAGGGAGGTGCAGTGGGAACAGGCACAGGTAGGTCACAGATCGCTCACCTGGAGGTCAATGGCCTCACGGTCAGCATTAAAATTGTGTTTTTCGATTATTTTCTCCTTCCATGTTGCTCTTGCAGTGAATTTTCCTGTCAGCAATGTTTCTGCTTATAAAGGCAATTGGTTTTCATCAAGTAGCCACCCAGAGCAGGCTTTAGGGATCTCTTTAAGCATCTCCAGTCTTCAGTTTTCCAATTTGAAAGTTGGAGCTAAAAATGGTGTCACCAAATGGGGGTGTTAAAAGCGTTTAACACTCTACATGAACATTGTTTGTGCACAATAAATGGAGGTTGTCTTATTATTTATTGTAACTTGAAATTCTTTTCATAAAGTGCATAGAATGTGAGCTCTTAAGATGAGAACTATTCATGCTGAAAGGATAGGAAGTCAGAAACTATGGGTGGAAGTTACCGCTCTGCCACAAGCCAATGATGCTAGGCAAAAACTTAATTTCTGGATTTGTTTTCTCATGTGTTCAGTAGACATAATATGTGTTCTATACCATACAGGATTATTCTAGTGAACAACATGATAGTACAAACTAACATGTATGCTAATACTTACTGATTATAAAGTACTTTTATATATACTATGTCATTTACTCTTTAACTCTATCCAGAGGAAAGCAAGGAAGAAATTCTAAGTGGTAGAGAAGAGAATCAAGGGTGTTTTTCCAGCTAAAAAATAGTGTTTTTATTTTTTCCAATATGTTAATTAATAAATGATCTAATAAGCAAAACATTATTTTGTAGAGCAAAGGATGATTACTCTTAAGTATTATGTATAAATTTAAGCTTTAAGCATAAAGAAAATTAAGTTTTATGTCACATTAACATGGATTTTTAAAAGATTCAGTGTTCTACTAGATTAAACTATATGAAATTACCAGTATTCAACTTTCGTACATCCAAAACAATGATTTTTATATAACCAATTAGTTCTCCAGTAGGAGTACATTGGCAAAAGTACTGAACACCTTTACTTAGTATGCAGGTTGCCAATAGCTAGAAAGAGGTTAGTTACGCTTGGTGAAAAACAGGAAAATTAATCTCAAGAATACAGAGACATTTATTGCATTTGTTTGTAAAGTCTGTGACTCTGGAAGGGATAAAATCAGTTCTTTGTTTTTAAATAAGAAATCAATTTGTAATTGTCATAGATGGACAGTATTTGTTGTATCGAATGAAACAAAATAATTGGTAACAAGTAGAGATGACATAATATTAATAGGATTATTTATGTAAAATACATAGTTCTGACAGGTTCTCAGATAATCACTACTAACTACCTCAATGCTGACTAGAAATTAGTGGGACAATGTTTAAATCATTTCAACAATATACTTATGCACTATATAAGCCTATACATTTTTCCAGTAAAATGACTTTAGAAACAAAATACAAGCATTTTGGGGGTGACCTTGTGTAAGTTATTTCACTTCTTTGAGTCATATTTCTTTATCTAGAAAACAGAAGTAGCAATACCATAGCTGCTTCACAGGATGGTTGAAATAAATATGTACTTAGCTAACATGAGTATGTGGCTTTAAAATGTTCTTATGGTTTTGTAACAGTTATTATTTCTCAACTTATTTTTATATATTCTAACTGTTAGGTTCCCATTCTTATCTCTAGGTACTGAGAAAATCTAAGAAATTCCCAAGGACTCATTTGTGCATGGAATAGGTGTGGGAAGATGTGTTTTATTCTGCCACCTCCACAAGAGGTTTTACTGGGGATGTAAGGGTTAAAAAGGACTGCAGTTGGAAAATTCAGAGAGAAGGAAAAAAAAAGTCAGGAAATTCAGAACGAGTTCTACTAACTTCATATACGAACCCCAGCAAATCATTTAGAGGCTACAAGCTGTGATTTCTTCACCTAGACAGTTCAAACTAATTCAGCTAACAATCTCTCCGTGTCCTTTCCCACACTAAAGTGTTAAGACTCTTTAACCCTTAGCTAGACCAGAGCTCAGCGAGATCTTCCATGGGATGGTGGACTTCAGATCTCCTCACAGCCAAGGGGCCCTGAGGAAACTTTGGAAGATGCACTGGAAGACTCTTCCTGATTGTTCTAAGAACAAATCCAGACTCTGAAAAGAACGTGGAGTGTTTCTCCTCAAAAAAAAGTTAATGGGTAAAAAACAGAAACTGGGCTGGAGATTTAGCTCAGCAGCAGCATAAGTGTCTGCCTGTGAAGCACGAGGTTATGAGTTCGATCCCTGGTACAGAGACAGAAAGAGCGCTTCATTAAATTTTCTCTTCACTAGTGCATACTTATTTTATTAAGTGACTATGTAATGATCCTGTCTTCAGTATTTGAAGCCACGAGTGCCAGAGGTAAAATATGTATAGACTTCTGGGTTAAAAGATGGCGGGAACTATGGATTATTTGTTTTCTTTTTAATAGGATTATCTCACGAGATTTTATCATCTTGACTCAAAAACAAAGGATGCCAATCGTTTCACAGACAAACTCAAGGAAATGGAAAAGTTCTTTCACCTTCCCATAACTGGAAAGTTAAACTCTCGTATCATAGAAATAATGCAGAAGCCCAGATGTGGAGTGCCGGATGTTGCAGAATATTCCCTATTCGCAAATAAGCCAAAATGGTCATCCAAAGTGGTCACATACAAGTTAGTTTTGCTCTGGTTAATTCACCAAGACAATAAAGCCCTGTTACTAGAAGAATAACTATTGTTTTCTTGTTCACTACTAGAATTGTATCATATACTTCAGACTTACCACATAGCAAAGTGGATGAAATAGTGGCAAAAGCTTTAAACCTGTGGAGCAAGGAGATCCCGCTGAACTTCCGTAGAATTCAATTTGGAACAGCTGATATAGAGATTCGCTTTGCAAGAGGAGGTAAGGATGACTCCTGAAAGCTAAGCCTGTGTGCTCTGTTTGTTGTTTAAGTCAGTGCTGTTCTCTTCTGAAAACTTATCACCTTTCATAGGGGCTGCGGGTATACCCCAGTATCAGAACATGTGTTTATCATGCACAGAACCCTGGTTTCAGTCCCCAGCACTGCCAAAGAAAACCCTCGTTAATGATATATATAGAGAGAAAGAAATATTATACATAGTAAAGTTATTACAATTTTTCTAATTTGTTAAATTAGAGCCTCTTTTTATTGGAGCAATTGGTAAACTATGACTCATGACCCAAAACCAGGTCACCGTAAGTTTTTGAAAATAAAATTTCATGGAACACAGCCATGTTCCTTCACTTACCCATTGTCTTATGATCACTTTCAGATGGGCTACAGTTGTGAGAGTCCCTCAAGTCCACAAAGCTTGAACTACTGATTATTTGATCCTTTATTAAAAAATTTTTCCAGCTCCTATTTTGTAGAATTAATCACTATAAATTCTACATTAAATTAGCTAATATCAACATTGAAGTAAGAGAGGGGGTTATAGCTCCTGAAACTTCAAATAACTTCCAAGAGATGGGATAGACTCTCGTGGCCTATTGCTAATGTCTTTCATGCAGGAAGAAAATAGAGACTTTATATTAAGGAACTTGTAGCTATACATCATAAATACACAAGCTGCTCTTAACTGATAAGGTTTCATGGTACGAATTTAGCAGGTAAATGTTTTCCATTGTGTTTTATTCTAATGCTGAACTGCCTGGGTACTATGAATTTCAAGTTCAAAACTTGAACTTGACTCCATAGTATTAGCAACACTGAAAAACATGCTGTGGAAAGCATGAATACAGCACCTCAAGACTTTCAAGAATTAGGTAAGCTGAATACAACCTGATACCAATCTAAAGATAAAGACTTCTACATTGCAAATAAAAGGACTATTAAAATCCACTGTAAGACACCTTGAGTATGGTTCTGTAAGAGGCATCTACTATGCTCAAAAGCAATAAGCTAATTTTTAAGAAAAAGATACGTGAAACGGTATACACATTACTTGCTCAAAAGCACTACTGATAATTCTCTTTCCCACTGATCAAACAAAATGATCAACTTTAACAAACAAATCCAGTTAGATACAGTGCATTTTAAGTCCTCAAAGCAGTTAAGTCTTCAATAAATGGCAGTCATCAGTCATGAGTACTGGTTCTAATGAAACAAAATAGGCAGCCAAACTACCCTTTATTTGCAACTGGCTACTGGTATCAATAATGCTTAGACACAGTTGTTCTTTCTAATCTTAGTACCACACAAAGTTAAAAAGAATTGAAAAAGCAAAAATACTAATAATAAGTAGTAAGTAAATAAAGTAAAAAGATGGAATAACTACAGAAAAACAGAGTCATTACAAAAAATTGTCCCATTTTCTTGCAGCTCATGGTGACTTCAACCCGTTTGATGGACCAGGAAATGTACTGGCTCATGCCTTCCCACCAGGGCCAGGCTTAGGAGGAGATGCGCACTTTGACAAGGATGAATTCTGGACTGATGGCAGCCATCGAGGTAGAGCATTCCATTGTCTATTCCACTATGCATCCTTTTTAAAATCCCAAACTCATGCTAATTCTATTCCTTTAATTTGTAATTACCAAGACTTTAAGTGCCAACCATGGCACTACGTGCTTTAAATGCTGTAACCTTAATTAATATATTTGTTATAAATACAGAAGATGAACGCTCAGGCTATAGATAGTCAAGCAGCACTGAGTTCAGTTTGCTGCATCTCTACCAGCTACTTTCTGTGTGCCCCCAGGAAAGTCATTTAACTTCTCTGAGTCTCAATTCCCTCTGTGAAGTGAGAATAGTAATAGTCCAAAGTATTGTTTAAATTAAAGGAGACAATGGCTGACACAGTGCTTAGCACAGTATTTGCAATACATTAATAATTCAACAAATTATTGTTCTTTCTTCATATTTCCCAAAAATAAATGTGTCAAATGGAAAAGAAAGAAGAGACTCTAACTGTAATATTTCAGAATTATATATAATTCTTAGATTATTCACTATTGTTTAAAAAACAGTTCCTGACCCATCATGTGTATACTTTACAAAGCAGAAGATTATAAGCAACACAGAGCTGAAATGTTTTTGTCTTTGACTTATGAAACACCATGGTAGTGCTTCATTGACAATATTAAATTTTCTCTTCACTAGTCTGTACTTCTTTTATTAAGTAATTATGTAATTTATTCTGTTTTCAAATTAGTATTTGAATCCACAAAAGCCAAAGGCAAAAGATGTACAGACCTGTGAAACAAAAGAACACAATGAACAAGAACTACAAATTATCCTCTCTATTTAATAGGACTATCTCAATTAATGGAGTACAGAGATTTATGCCAGCATAAATATTATTTATGGCATAAATAATCCTAACTGGATAAAATACATTTTTTAAAAATAGCTATTACCTGGATTCAAAAGAGAAAATAGTACCTGTGTTTGGCAAAGGGAACCAAGTAACGAAACCTCTGTGATGCAGAGATGCTGCCTCCTTTTCACACCTGGCATACATTCTTCATTTCCATTTCCCACTCAAAGTAGATTAAACGTAGCTTTTTCCTTCATCCCGGCACAATACAATCGAGATTCTGGTGACTTCTAAAAACCATAAGCTCACAGTTTCCCAGTTACTTACAAAGCCTTTCCACGTGCATGAAGGAGGCAAAACAAACTTCTTTAAAAATACAGGATGTGATTGAAAAATACATGGATGTCCACATTCTTTAAATTTATCACATTGGATGGCACTTTCCCATCAATGCCCCTCATAATACTCTCCCTCGACCCAGTACACTTACCCATCCTTCTCGCCACTCTCATGAGCGCGTTTAGTTGAGCTATGGTAGCTGCCTCAATGTTCTGGATCAAATCAAAGCTTCCACTTTGCATGTCATTTTGAGTTTGGGAAAAAAACAGAAGTTACTCGGGGCCAAATCCAATGAATGAGATGGATGAGGACACGCTAGACACACTCTACGGTGTGAGTAATAAAGTAAAAAGCCTGCCTTTCTGTTGGATAGCATACGACAGCCACATGTTCTATCGCAGCTCAGGAAGACACTGACGAAAGTGTACTTTCAGAAAAGCAGCAGGAACAGTGAGACAAGTAAGGCTCGAAGTGAGGGCAGTATTTCCAGGGGAATTATGACAATGTGTCCTTTACTGTGATATATTTTGTATTTATATATTCACATATACTTTTACCACAACATATATATGAGATATATGTGTGTGTGTGTGTGTGTGTATTTATACTGTTTTATACTAAAAATCAAAACAAAGCCCAGAATTTCCAGGATATTTTGCCTTTCAGTCTTAGTTTTCTCAACACTAACTGTCTCCTGACATTTGAAGTCATAATCATTTATTTTTTTAAATTTTATTTAAGGAGAAAAAGAAAAAAAAAGCAGAGAAAGGGTACAAGTTATACAGATTTACAGAAAGAAATAAACAGTAGGAAATCACTAGTTAATGGATTACATTTTGTCATCTTAGAAATAATTGTTCAAGTTACAAAATTAAAGCTTATAAAGTGGACATTCCAACAGTGAGACTGCAAACAGTTCTGTTCAATGATCCAACAAAACTCAGTAATATCATTATCTATCTTACACAATTAAATATACATGCAGTTATATCATTTAGAGCACTTTCTTTTCCTCTCTTTTGTACAATGACAATTACACATTTTGGGTTTTGTTGCTCCCACAGTTCTTATTACTTTTTTGGAAGAGAGTAGAACCAAATGTGACATAACAGAACAGTCAGTCAAATCAAAAGGGTGGACGTAATAGATAATGTAAAAGCATAATACTAGGTGATCAACAATGGTTACCATAATGCCTCCCGCTATCTCTAATAGAATTGCCTATATCATTAGTTATAATAAAATTGAACAAAACAGTAAAGAACAAAACCAACAAAACCAAAACATTGGAGACATTATAGGTCTTCAAAAGTAGATAATAGTCAACCAGAATGGGCGTCATAATGAATCCCACTATCTTCACAGCTGTTGCCTAAACTTTCGAACCTGGTACTATCAAGCAAAACAGAATAGAGGAACATCAGTCAAAACAAGATGGTGAGAGCAATACAGGGCTTTAAATCAAGATAATGGAAAGTCAAAGTGCGTTACTATAATATATCCTGCTATTTTTAAATTTATTTTTCCCTTAATTAAAAGGATAAAAAAAGTAAATAATAAAATGGAGACTGAGATAAAAGAGGGCATAACAGCAAATCAGCGTAGATCAAAACATAACCATTTAAGCAAAATAGCGTTTCACCACAAGATTATCCCGACATAAAAGTAGTTACCATATTGTCTCTTTCCTTAAAATCTTTGAGTATACATAATCATTTATTGACTAGCCATTATTTTCCAGATATTGGGAAATTCTGTTTGGTAGAAATTATGTAACAGAGAAGGATCTAAGACCAGGCATGCCTGTGATCCTAGCACTCGGGAGGCTGAAGCAGGAGGACTGCTGCAGGTTTGAGGCCAGCTTGGGCTACAAAGTGAGTTCAAGGCCAGCCTGAACTGCAGTAGGAACCTCTGTCTCAAAAAGAGAAAAGAAGAAAAAAGAGCTAAGAGTTAGCAATATCAATCAGTTTGACCAGTATTATCTAGCTAATCAAGTAATGGAACTATGTTATAAATCAGATCTTAGTGATTTAAAGCTTTTGTTTTCCACAATACTACTGCTTGAGTAATATACAAGAAAAAATTGACCAAAAACCCCCCATATTTTAATAAATGGAAGGAGTGTTTAACATTAAATCACTACTACTTTGATTCTCCTAATTTCTCATACTTTTGAAGGCCCAGAATAAACTACAATAGATGAAGAGTTAGATATCCTTATAGTTGCTTTTATTTTTATTACATTGTATATTATTTTATAAGTATTTTCACAGTTATTTCAATAGTCACTATCTGTCACTTCTCTGGTTGTAGGAATTAACTTCCTGTATGCCGCAACCCATGAATTCGGCCATTCTCTGGGTTTGGGTCACTCTGCTGACCCTAACGCTGTGATGTATCCAACATATGGAAATGGAGATTTGAAAAGCTTCAGACTTGCCCAGGATGATGTTGAAGGCATTCAGGAATTATATGGTAGTATTTATGATTTCAGCTAAAGGAGATTTCACATCTTCTCTTTGAATGGGTTTGAGAGCTGCTGGGAAGTGGGTATTTTCCTGGAAAACCACACAGAAACTTACATCAAAAACCCTACAGAGGAAACAAATGAGACCCTAGATACTCAATTTAATGAGACTATTTTATGAGTACAAAGTTATACTCATTTTAAGTTTCAATAACACGATGAAATTATGTGAATGGCACTGTTCTTACTTGATCAGCTCGGTTCCTTTAGGAGAGTGTTCCGTTCTAGGAATGCACTACAGGAACAGAACCCCATCTCCATCACTGTCCATGCCCAGGGATTCAGCCCCTGGTGATTAAAAGTGACCCAAGTTTTTCTGTTGCATATACATGTCGGGAAAGCAGTTAACTATGGACAGCCACTGCTGTTATCTCTGGTCATTAAGCTTATAAACATCTCATGCTCTGCTCTATATTTGTTTGTTTTAAGTTTCACATTTAGTTTATAGACAGAGATGAGAATAGAAATTTTTATCTTTGTCCGTTAAAGCCTCTCTGAAATACTACTTCTGACTAACTTCAAAGAAATACAAATCGGTATACATTTCAAAAAACTACATTAGAATCTTGAGAAAAATACAAAAGGATTAAGAAAGATCTGAGGCAATGCAATTACATTTGAGAGAAAAAAAAATGGACATTTTAAAATTTATTTTTAAAGGAATAAAACAAAACAATAAAAATGAAACAAGACTGTGACAGGACAGTAGGAAATCCACAATTGTTACTATCCTGCATATTGTTATCCTCTAACTAATTGCTCATAGTACCAGCTCCAGGCTTGAAAAGTCAATCAAACAACACAAATGGCAGGTTGCTTCCCTACCTCAGCTATTATCATCTCAGCCTGGGTTGCACCCAGGTGCTTACCAGTGGGGTGCGGGGACCAAGGGGATGCACGACTTCCTCGCTGGTTCTCCCCGGCTAGCTCTCCCCAGGCCTCTGCCAGCCTGACTAGAGTTTTAAATCCTGAAGTGTTACAGAAAGAGGCACCCTTAGGCTAAATTGGAAAGAAGAATCCACTGGACAAATGGAAGTAAGATTTGATTAAGTAAGTTATATATTTAGGGAATTCATTAATCCAAAAGTAATATGACACTTGCCTCGCATGAATGAGTCCCTGAATCCCCAATAATGCTAAAAAAAAATAATAAAATGGCAAAAAATACAGATTCAAAAAACTATTAGTGATGGACTCAATATTCCCTGTGCTATATTCAGAATAATAAAAATAATAGCTAAAATGTACCAGTACTTATAATGTACCAAGAACTGCACATGAATTAACTCACTTAACCTAACAACAATGCAGTGAGACATTATTGTCCACATTATCCTCATTTATAGACTAGTAACCTAATGCTTAAAGAGGTTAAGGAGTACGATAATATATTCAGGGTTACACAAGCAGTGAAACTGAAGAGACCAATGCAAAGGCTTCTGACCCAGGATCACGCTTTGTGCAGGATTCTTTTTTAGCCTTTGGAAGTGGTTCTTCAGAATCTGTGTCCTCAGCTCAGAAATCTGGGCTGCGAAAATGACAGATTATACATATCATGGGCAAAATGTTCTATATGATCATAAGATGTGTCTATATGATCATAAGATGTTTTTGTGTATTTTATACCATGTCAGATTTTTTTTTTCTTAACAGGAAAGAGAAGTAATTACAGAAAGAGATAGAAACTTAAAGAAAAATATCCATTCACTCATCCACTGGATTCTGCATCAGTGTCACCCAAACAGAATGAATACACACTCTTCCTGCACTCCATTCCGCACTGATTTCACTCCTGCTCAGGTTCTTGCCCTCCCTCCTTCTGAGGATAAATTCCTTTGTGACATGACTTGGTCTTTCTCATGTGTAACTGTCTTCAGGCAACACCCAGTTGGTATATGTCAATAAATGTTATATTTAAAAATAAGTAAAACTTATTTTATGGTGAAATTATTTGTGTTTAAGAGCACTTTTTCTATAGCAAAAGAAGACATATCGTAAGGTAAATAAGACCAAAAAAATCACCCCATATCTTAGGTTGTTCAGGTGTGCCTCGCCTTCTCACCACATGTACAAGGTAGAAGCTCCACCATCTTATTATTCATCAGTGTGACCCAGAATTATACTAAACATGAAACATCCTCTGGCCCAAGCTCTCCCTGCATCTTCTGCAAGTCTAATCCTGCCCATAAAAAGTCTATGAACTCCCAAGGACCTGCATATCATAGCCAGTTCCAGCTCCAAGTTCATGCCGTTGTACTTCTGCTATTCAGCTGCTCCCCGGGTCCCCTTTGCTCTGCCATCTGCCAACACAGACCTCAGTCTAACCCTCTTTCATTTTTCTCCAAAGCAGTCCTACCAGAGACTATTGATGTTACTAAAAGATTTGCACCCAAAGATTTTTGCATTGCACAAGAAAGAAACTAAACAAAATTAGGTTTGGACATTATCCCCATCCCCATCCCCATCCTTCACACCCTTTACCTATCCACATCAGGAATTTCTCCCCGGCCATCTGCCTCTTCAGACTGCAACCTCCCAACGACCCTTCCCCCCAGGCCTCTGGTCTCTAGACTTCACTCGTGACTGCTGTAGCAATTCACCTTCTGATATCTTGCTCTGGCCCTCCCCTTCCAGGCATGCACTGAGACTCTTCAGTTTAATTCTCTGGGGGAAGCATCTCTACGCAGGGCTAAGCCCTGGAGAAGGACACACAGCTGGGAAAGGCTGTGCCCTTCAGCCCTGCTTTTCTTGCTCTTCCATTCTCCTCACATTCATGAAATGCAGTTTTCCTTACACATTGAAAAAAATTAAACATATTCTTAGTGACATAAATTATGCCTCACATATACCCTAAAAAGATATATTCACTTTTAAAATTTCACCTGAAGGCTTTTCTTACCCAAAACAGATCAGTATTCCAAAACTCAAAATAATCACTATACTTACTACAAAGACATTCTACAGACAAATGAGAAGGAGAATCCATAATTCCAGGCAAAATAATGAAGTGTAAGCCAGAGGTTTAGCTCAGTGGCGTAAGTGCCTGCTTGGCAAATGCAAGGTCGTGAGTTCAATGCCCGGCACAAAAAAAAAAAAAAAAAATGGAGTGTATATGAACATTTAAGTAGAAGGTATCCTTATTGCAGCTGAAGTTGCTACCTACTGTTTTTATATGACTAATACTCCTTCGCTATACTTTTGGGGCCTGGAAACTGCCGCAACTCTTTGTGTACCATCTTCATAAGCTGTCACTAAAGACACTACAAGCTGTTCCAGGCCCAGAAGGGAGCACAGGATCCCAGCCTAGCCTACCAGGCACTCCACTGGGAGCTAACGCCCCTGGTTGTGGAGCACTCTCTACCCTTGCACCCAGAAAACCTGTGAAGCTGCCGGCATCCTGTCCTCAGAGCTTAAGCGCAGGGTTTCTCTTCCAGATTTCACAACTGACTGCATTGCTTTCCGATGAACATTTGTCTACTGATTAAATTGGCCAGAGTCAGTTTAAGTCTTTTGATCGCAAATCCCTTTCTCAATTGTTTGACTGGCCTTCGGTAGCTGTATGTTTCTTCTCTGTTGTGTATTTCACTACTTCAGTACTGACAGTGAAGTTCAGCTCTTGGCATTGAAGTATGTGGATTTTTATTTCCATCCACACACCATGAAGCCAACTTGTAAATAGATATTTTTCCAGGAAATAAGCGGTTCTGATGTTGTTATGGTAAAATACACACAACATAAAATTTACAGGTTAGTATAAATATACCCACATGATTGTGCAAGAGAAATGATACTTCACCTGAGTGCTACTGGCATTTTTTATTGCATCCTTCTTTGGGGTGGGGGCCATCCTGTGTATGACAGCGTTATTGGCAGTCATCCCTGTTCTCTCTCCACCGGATGCCATCAGAATGTTAGTTGTGATAATCAAAGTGTCTTTAACATTGTCAAATGTTCCTTATTGGGAAAAACAGCCACCAGTTGAGAATTCCGCAGCTAAGAGAACAAATCATTTTTCATCTTTTTTGTGTGTTTTGTTTTTGGTACTGGGGATCAAACTCACCACCGCGTGCTTGCAAGGCAGGTGCCTCTGCCACTGAGCTAAATCCGCGGCCCATTTTTTCATCTTCATACTTAGTGTCTTTCTACCTTTTTTTTTCATTCTGGACCTCTACCATCCTGTCGTCCTGCACCACCCCATGGGAAAGGAAGACTAGTAAGAGATTAATGTGACTCATGACATCGGCTTTTTTTTTGACACTTATTTGAGGAAAAGATTTTCATATTTTAAAGAACAAAAAACACAGGTGCGCCAAAACCAAAATCAATGTATGATCGTTCATAAGATTTGTTTGTAGTCTGTAGATTAATTTTTAAATTTAAAATCAATAAATTCCAGTTTAAGAAAAGTCAGAGCAGATGGCTTTGCTTTTCCTCCCCAGAAATTCCACTTGAGCAACAGCGAAAACATAAAGCATTAGGAGGAAGTCTTCAGGAGCCAGACGTTTCTTGGAAAATTTCTGGAAGACCTACAAGAGCCAGCAGGTAAAACTTATCAGCCTCAGCCTTGAATATGTGACTAGGCCATAAGTAGCAGTGGCAGCTAAATTTCATAACTCCAGAAAAGCGCTGAAACCCAATTAGAAAGTTTAAGGGAGGCAGGCAAACACTGAAATCGGGATCAGCTGTACATGGCACTTGGCCTCACTGCATGCCTCTAGGAAAGTAGTACAGAGCCAGGTATTCTATTCCAGACAAAAAGCTCAGTGTTCTTTGCTAAATAGGTTTGTTCAATATTTCACGAGAGAACAGAAAATTTACAGTAGACTTTGTGCCTCTCAACAGATACCTGTTTCGGCTTTGAGGGTATTGAACACTACATTCATCAGCTCATTCTGAGGGGAAGGAAGATCCACCCACGTACACCAAAACTCTCCTCAGAGGGCCAGGCATTTAGTTCAGCAGCAAAAGCGCCTATCTGGAAAGCATGAGGTCAATGTCTAAGTCATACTTTATTTTCCAGAATTTTCTTTCTTTCTTTTTTTTTTTTTTTTTTTTTTTTTTGGATCAGGGATTGAACTCAGGACCTCACACTTGCAGGGCAGGCACTAACATCACTGGCTGGCTCTCTTGTTTGTCTGTGTTTGTTTTTGTATCTTTAGTGTTATTACCCCTCACACATAATTTTACAGAACTGCTGCATTGTGGGCAAAAAACAGCTGCAAGACCAGTAGCTTCAGATCCCACGTGACCCATAACTTTTGACCTCTCTGAATCTTTTTTCTTTATTTTTAATTTATTTTTTTAATTAGTACGTATTTGCCACACATAATAATCACATTCACCTTAGGGAATTTGGAATCTGTACCTTTACTTTTGTTTTCTTTTCTTTTTTTTTTTTTTTTTGAGATAGGGTGTTGTATGCAGCTCAGGCTAATATTGATCTCATTGTGTAGCCCATGCTGGCCCTGAAACCACAGCAGTCCTCCTGCCTCAGCCTTCTGAGTGCTGGGATTACAGATGTGCACCACCATACCGGGTTTACATAGTGTATTTTAATTCTTCTTTTTTCCCCATTTCCCTTCTCTCCCTTCAATCCTTCTTCCCTTCCCCACTTACAGAAGCTTTGTTTCCATTTTTCCTTCCATTCTCTTTTTTTCCTTTTCCTTTCCTTCCCTTGTTCCCCTTCACATTTGAGTATGCTCTTTCTACTTTCCAATTTCTCTTTTCACTTAACCTTTGAATTTCTCACACCAAAGAAACAACGTAATATTTAAACCTGTGTGCCTGATTTATTTCACTTAAAATTATGGTCTAGTAGTGCGTCCATTTACCTAAAAATGACTCAAATTTGACCTTCTTTATGGTATAGTAGTACTCCATTGTATATAAATACCAAGTTTTTCTTTATCCATTTACCTGTTATTGGATATGTGGGCTATTTCCAATACTTAGCTGTTATAAACTGTAATGTTATAAACATGGGTGTACACATATTATCCTCTTTCAGGAAAAATTTTAACTCTTTCAGGAAGATTCCTAGAAGGGTAACAACTGGATCAAATGGAACTCCAAGTTTTACTTTGAGGAGGAATCTCCACACTTATTTGTGTAGTGGCTGCACCAATTTACATTCCCAGCCGCAATGGAAAAGGGTTTATTTTTCCATACAGTCTCATCAGGATTTGTTATTGGTTGATTTATTTTTTCTTATCTTTTTGAGACAGGGTCTCACTATGCAATTTGGGCTGGCCTTGAGCGAACTTTGTAGGGGCTGGTCTCAAACTCACAATGATCCTCCTGTCTCAGCCTCCCAAGTGCTGGGATTACAGGTATGCACCACCAAGCCCAGCAAAGATTGACTTCTTGATGACAGTCTTTCTTCCTGGAGTGAGATGAATCTTAGTGTTGTTTTAATTTGCATTTCTTGAATAACCAGTGGTGATGATAATTTTTTCATATATTTATTTTCTATTTGAACTTCTTAACCTGAGAAATGTCTGTGCATCTCAGATGCCCATTTTCAAATTTGGGAGTCTTTTTGGGGGTGTTTGTTTGTTTGTTTTGGGTATGGGAGATAAGTGGAGTGACTCCCCTTGAACGCAGAACAATTGCTGAAACTTTGATTATATGGAGACTGATTTCCTTATACAGATATGCACAGAGCTGACTATGGTATTTCCTTCTCTCCTCAATTGGTCCAAGCATTGCAAATAAGGCTAGTGAGGTACTGATGTGTCATCTCTAAAGCCAACAGACTCCTGTTTCCTGGCATTGTGTTCTCTGTAGAAGATATGAGCAGAGCAGGATGTTAGAGCCAACAGCTCCGGGAATATCAACTGGGTATGAACCTCAAGGTAAAGAGGCTATGACTCACCAGGGCACAAAAATTTACATATCAGAAACAAAGCAACAGCCTCCTAAAACAATTCAGTTGCTACCTTAATTGAATT